AAAAGAGAGAGATTCTCTCTCTTAGTATAAAGTAATATATAAAATATACTCTCTCTTATATAAGTATATATAAGTATACTCTCTTTTATATAAATATAATATTGTATAAGTATGATTTCTCTTAATATATGTATAAGTATATATAAGTATACTCCTCTCTTATATATGTTATAAATATATATAAGTATGCTCTCTCTTAATATAAGTATATATGTAAGTATATTCTCTCTTATATATGTATATATCTCTTAAATAATTATATAATATGTATAAGTATGCTCTCTCTTATATATGTGTTTAATGTGTACTCTCTCTATATAATATTTGTACTCTCCCTCTTAGTATATAAGTATACTATCTCTAATATAAGTATATATATGTATATATAAGTATACAGTGTGTACTCTTTTATATATATATATATATATATATATATATATATATATAATATATATATATATATAAATAGAAAAACTTATGTCAACTTAAGTTGACATCCACCAACTTCTTAACAATTAGATATTTCCTAGGATCCTTGCATGATATGAAGTGATTATATATATATATATATATATATATATATATATATATATATATATATATATATGAGTGGATATAAAGTTTGGTGGACAAAGGGCTCTTGTCAACTTAAGTTGACATTAGTTCTCCTATATATAATATATATATATATATATATATATATATATATATATATATATATATATATATATATATATAATATATATATATATAATATATATATATATATATATATATATAATATATATAGATAGAGAGAGAGAGAGAGAGAGAGAAATGGGTATGCTTGGTACGAAGCACAAAAAATTATGCTTTGTAGTATGGTGGCATAACCCCTCCACTCATTTCAAATGATTGCATACTCCATGCATTCCTCAAACCCATGTGAATGGGTTCTCATTTGAATGAGTGAGGGGATTGTGCCACCTCACTACCAAGCAAAAATTTATGCTTGGTACAAGCATACCTATATTCCTTTTATATATATATATACTCTCTCATATATATAATATATCTATATACACACACACACACACATATTTATACTCTCTCTCTTAGTATATAAGTATATATAGTAACTCTCTCTTATATAAGTATATATATGTATAAGTATACTCTCTCTCTTACATATGTATAATATATGTGTGTATATATATATATTTATACTCTTATATAAATATAATTATATATGTACATAAAGTTATGTTTATTATATGTATAGATATATAAATATATATTTATACTCTTATATGTATTTATACTATTATATAAATATACTTATAATGTACAAATAAGTTATGTTTAATATATATTATATATATATATATATATATATAATATATATATATATATATATATATACATATCACACACACAGCATATTTATACCTCTCTCTTAGTATATAAGTATATATAAGTATACTCTCTCTTGTATAAGTATATATATGTATAATTATACTCTCTCTTACATATGTATAATATATGGTGTGTATATATATATTTATACTCTTATATAAATATAATTATATATGTACATATAAGTTTATGTTTATATATATGTATAGATATATAAATATATATTTATACTCTTACATGTATTTATACTATTATATAAATATACTTATATATGTACAAATAAGTTTATGTTTATATATATATATAATATATATATATATATATATATATACACACACATATATTTATACTCTCTCTTCTTAGTATATTAAGTATATAAGTATACTCTCTCTTATATATAAGTATATATATGTATAAGTATACTCTCTCTTACATATGTATAATATATGTGTGTATATATATATTTATACTCTTATATAAATATAATATATATATGTACATATAAGTTTATGTTTATATATATGTATAGATATATAAATATATATTTATACTCTTACATGTATTTATACTATTATATAAATATACTTATATATGTACATATAAGTTTATGTTTCTATATGTGTGTATATATATAAATATAACTTATATAAGTATAATATATTGTTATATATATATATTTTATAACTCTTATATGTCTGTATATATATATATATAATACAATTTGTTTATGTATATTAATATATGAATGACATGAATATTTTAGGCTATTTAGTCTAGTGGTAAAACTTTAGAAGTTTGAGAGGAGGTTAGTGGTTCAAATTCTAGCTACAACATATATATTTAAAAGTCTTTTGATAGGGCCTTGGGCTCTTTGAATTATACAATTATTTTTAATTTTGTTTATTTCTATAAATTCAAGAGCCCCTTTGATATCTACATTATTTTTAATTTTATTTATTTCTATAAATTCTATAATTATATATATTATTTTAATTTTTATATTTTTTATATTTTAAATTACATAATTACAAATGATTAAATAATATATTTTTTTAATCAAAAAATTGTGTCTATTTTGCCTTTTTTTAACTAGAAAAAATTTTAAAAAATAAAAAATTATAAACTTGGACCGGCCCAGTGTCCGGCCGTTTAGACCCGGGCCCGGGCTTGGACCCGACCCGGAGCGACCGGACCTGCGTCCGGGCTCCGATTTTGCCTGGCCCGGGCCTGGTTTTCCGGGCCGGACCAGGTCGGATGGTCACCCTTTGTTATGGGTCTTTTGTGTTCAAGTCTAAGTCCGAACATGTATGTACTACCTCTATGGGTCCTATCCAAATTAAAAAACAACCCATCCTAACACAAATCTTATTCACTGAAAAGTGAAATCGAGTCGACCGAGACCGCTTGATTGTTATTTGCAAAATACATCATTATTCTGATTGACTCTTATACAATTTTTTTATTGGAGCTTTATGCAAAATGTTTAGAACATAAGTCCAAGAGAATTAACTGTTTTTCACCAACACTGTTACGGTATGCTTGTTGTCAAAATCTCCTTTTTTTTATTTTTTTACTTTTTATTTTTCTCTTAAAACCAATGACCCAAGATGACGGTAGTGAGAAAAGGATTTGATCATAGAGGATTAGGATAATAGTTAGGTTTAATTAATGGGTATTTCCGTTTAACTAAATGGACATTATTAAAGTCTAATACAATTATTTATATTTAACAATATGAGCCTCCAGTTAAAATACATATCATGAGAAAAATAAAAAGTATAATTTATTTAGACATACAAGTGTCCTGTTATGAAATTAAATTGTATTTTAGTCGTGTGTTAATATCAAGTGGGGTTAAATATTAAGCTAGGTCTCAATAATAAATTATATACATATGATGGGTATATCTAAAAAAACCTTGAGTTGCAGTACTTGCCAACAATACAGTGAATGTGGCTCTGCCACTTCTTTGAGATCAAGGACATGGGCATGTGGTTTACAATAAAATTAGGGTTGGTGATAATGATTAGTTGTAGTGGTGATTCATGAGATTTACTCACTTGTGAATCTTCGGTACATAATAAAAATTTTAGGATCTTTTTGATATTAGTCCTGTAAATCTTTAATATTTTTGAAAATAATCACAAATAATTGAAAATAATCACAAGTCTAATTATCTTGCAACTACTACTCTTGAAAAAAATGTCATATTATTTTGATCAAATTTTCAAAATAGACTCTATTGGGAATTTATTTTTAAAAAAAGACCCTTTAAAATTTAATTGATATTTTCGACCTAGTTTCAACCACCTGACTGAAACTGGGTCGAAAATGACAATTAAATTCTAAAGCTTCACAGGATTTAAAATCCTGTGAAATTTAGTGTCTAATTATAGTTTTGTGTCTGATTAGCGACGCATAAGAAATAGCCACCCAAACTTCATGAAATTTTAGCTTCGCTGATCAAACACTAAACTTCACGGGATTTTAAATCCCAGGAAGTTTTCTAACTTTAATTGTCATTTTCAGCCCAATTTCAGCAAAGTGACTGAAACTAGGTCGAAAATAACAATTAAATCTCAAAGGGGTTATTTTCTAAAAAATAAATTCCAAATAATGTCTACTTTAAATATTTAGCCTGTTATTTTGATTATTATTTGAAATGAATGTCAATGGCATAAACATATTGTCAATCTGTCTAGTCTTTAAAAAAATAGAATGTATAGTTTGATACCGTTTCTATTCTACTTCCTTCGTTCTACTACGCACATACGTGCAGTGTGATAACGCCCTATTACATCTCTTCTTTATTGATGTACCGTATGATACTCGTATCCTGCCCAAATAAAAGAAAAGAACAAATTTTTTAAACAGACTCATTTCAATTTTTAATTTTCAAAACCGACTCTTTTTTTTATTTACCAAAACCGACCCGATTTTATGATTAGCAGATTAATCACCTTCCTAAATAGTCGGGGTTGGCAACCCCGACTATTTAGGACGGTGTTAAACCCTAATTAGAAGCATTAAACCCTAAAAATTAATGTCCTAAATAGTCGGGGTTGCCAACCCCGACTATTTAGGAAGGTGATTAGTCTGCTAATCACAAAATCGGGTCGGTTTTGGTAAAAAAAAAAAAAAAAATCGGTTTTGAAAATAAAAAGTTAGAATGGGTCTGTTTAAAAAATTTGTTCTAAAAGAAAACCCTGACTACACCTTTATCCATGGGCTCCCAAGCTAAATCTAGCTGTTTGCAATACTGTACAATTACACTGAGATGTTTAAATAAGTGCAGCAAATGAACAGATAAAATGAGCAAAGAAGTTACGCTGGATGTAGGTTAGTCATAACAAACGAGTAGTCAAGGACATGAATTGAAAGTTGCAACTACACAAATTTCGAGTTGAACGAAAAAAAATAAAAAGCATAGATAAAAGAACCCTAGCATTAAAGTTGAGTAAGTTTTTGTTAATAAAATATTCTACAGAAAACCCTAACCCAACTTCATGGTCCAACACATCTTGTCCTCTGTAAGGCCCATCTGCAGATTTGTTAATGCAGAATAGAGTTGGGCCGTGCTATCCGTGCCAAATCCGCATTTGTTCCAATACTCCACCCTGCAACATATGCAAACAATTAGTGTCAACAAATAGGGTGGGGGGGGGGGGGGGGGATCAATATAGAGATAACCTTATCGAAAATCATACAGGGACGTCGAAGCCTACAGGTGTCCCAACCAACCAACTTTAAAGGTGGCAGTTATATTGATGCTTACTGTTTGCACTGATTTGTAGTATTTTGCTTGTACCGATCTTTTAACCGTCTACACTGTTGTTTGTGTATCCTTTGAACCGGCTTAAAATTGATAGAGGTTACATTGTCCTTTTCTCGATATGTATGTTTCTAAGAAGAGGACTCTCAAATAGGATTTATTTCCAAATATTGAAATTTTAAAATTATTTTTCTTTTTATGACACTGGTGAAATTTTGAGAAAGGAGAGACCAGTGTCCAAATCCTGAATGCACTAACATAACTTAGCAATGACCTAAAAACACTATGAAATGCAATAACATCCAACCAATCAGGCGTGTCAAAATCTAAATGAAGCCGTGAGCCGTGATCAGCCCATAGGACTCCAACTACTCCTAACAAAAAATGCACCATGTACAACTTTTTTCTATAGAAGGCACTACTAGATTTTAAGGCAAAGATGAGGATAATGGGAAAAAGAAGCCTCATCAGATGGCCTTAATTCTCAATAACAACATATGGATATACTTGAGAACAATGGAAGAAGGTATAGAGAATGCTTCCACCTTGTCCCGAGGTATGTTATACTTCCCACAGGTGAGACAACCACAGCTGTTCCCGTACAGAAAACTTCATCAGCATCAAGCAATTCTTCTACTGATACGAGACGTTCTTCAACCTACGCAGTTGAATTGGTTATCATATAAAAGAAGTAACATGAACAGAAAATAGGCAATAAATTTTTTTATAACATAACAACAAACATGTGCAACGAGGATAGGAAAATTTTAGTTTACAAATCACTGTCATATTAGACCCTAAAAGTCCTTAATTTTTTATGAGGCTTCCTAATATTCATACTTTTAATTTACATCCCCAAATCTATTAAGTTGTTTCAAATAACAATCACAAATCTAAAAAATTGTCACATTAGACTCCAAATTTGTTCTTAATCTTTATATTAGACCCCCACTCTTCATATTTCTAATTAACATCCCCAAATCTATTACGTTGTTCTATAACGGTAAACAGTTGAATAACTACAATTAAATCTAACGAGGGGGTGCTATAAGAAATATGAGATTTACGACCTGTTTTAAAATTAAGAAAGAATTTAGGGTTTAATATGATAAAACCCCACAAAGAATTAATGCAGAAGAGCTAGTTTGACGGTTCGAGAGCAAGGTCATAAATCACCAAGATCTTAATCACTAACCAAATGCATGTGCTGACAAGACGTTTGTACAGTGTAAAAGCTACGAGCACTTGTAAAGCGTAAAACTATGAGCACTAACTAATAACGGAAAGAATTTCAACTCAAAAGCTACAGAATCTAACACATCAATCTAAAATATGTTGTAAAATATTTTCCTGCAAGAAAACATTATTAAACCTAATACCTGGTAACCCTGGCTCCGAGCAACATCAATTATACTTTTCCTTGTAATTCCAGGCAATATAGTTCCTTTTATCGCCGGAGTTGATATGACTTTGTCCTAAAACAACAAAGCGGAAAAAGTAAATCACGCCATCAGATTACTCACTGAAGAATAGACAAATGTATATTACAACAAATGTATGAAAATCACCATATATTTATATAAAGAGATGCTGCCATTTCAACCTTTAGTAACCCAAAATGAATATGCAGAATAAAATGTCTAAATTGGACTCATGCCACCTTGATATGTTGCTCATATTGAAAAATTACATTATCTATAAGCAGAAGTAAAAAAAAAACCCTACATCAAGTCTGTCATAGGCCTTCTCGATTTTTTCCTTGTCTAGGAGTATTGGAATGTTGGAGGATGCCAAAAGGCATTTTTAGGACCATGGAAAGCTTTCTCTTGTCTATATGAATAGGAACTTCGGCACTAATTAAAAAAGACGCCTGATTCATGTTGATAGCCGGTCACGAAACTTTGTTAAATCTTTCTTATTCAACAAAAACCTCATTTCGATGAGAAAAAACAATGAGTCAAGGACTGAAAAGTTCAATAAGATGCATTGTCAAATCGTTCAGCAAGATTTGTTCAATAGAAAACCACATTTTGATGCAAAAAGGCTTAGATGATGATGAGAAGACAGACATCCCAAAAGCGCAAGTTCACTAACAAGTTCTACTTCCATATACCCATGTCACTCATGCCTAAACAGAATATGGTCAACACCAAAACCTTCATCTGCCAAATAGGCTTGTTGTCTGCATGTGCACGTTTTTTTTGTTCACTGTTCTTTTTTTATTTTTTTATTTTTATTGGGGGGTGGGGGTTTGGGGGGAGCGGGTATGTGTGGAGGTGGGGGTCCAATCATCCAGTCATACTCTCAGGAGAATCCTCAGAGCAGGCCGAATAGCAAATCCAGTTAACTAAGAAATACAGGCAAGAATAAATGTCATACGTTATACCAGACTCATGCTCCCACCTAGGCCATCCCAGCACCTAGATAGCAAGTAACCAGTCAGCCGACTGTACACATATTCTGGCGCATAGCCTACTTTAAAAACATTTAGACCCAAACAACACTTAATACATTTTATAATAACAAAATAATTCCTTAACAATCTGCTCTGTAAAACTTAAATCTACAATGATTTTCCACTTTGTGTCCCATCGTTTTTTGTCGTTGTGTGGTCGTGTGTCAGTGTACGCTAGATGCATGTTGCCTAGAATGTAATGGGTACAAATATGTAATAATCTGTAGAAATGGATTTGTATGATCTATAAAGTGGCGCGTTATGCCAACACAGAAATAAGAGAATAATGATAATCTGTTATGAGCCTAATATATTCAAGTATAATCATAAGTTAAAATGGGGCATAAAAGGAATAGGTTTCCACGAATGAACCATAGAATTACAATCTGTACAATAAGGTGAAGAAAAATAGCGCATGTTATATACTAATATTTTTTTTTGTATATTTTATTCATTACTATATTTTATTTATTATACATATTTTATTTTTTATTTATTTTATTTATATTTTATGTATTTATTTTATTTATTTTTTATTGTTGTGTGTGTTTAGTTGTAAATGATAATAATTCCTAATATAGTAGAGGATAAAAAGATAAATTATTAATCATAATAACTTGTTGAATTTATAACACTATAGATATGTATACATTAATAACACTACATATGGAGCTCCAGAGGAGTGAGCCTATGTGAGAAAAGGGCTGGAGGTAGAGATTGAGGGGAGACTAAGGAAGCAAACATTGTTAGGGAATTTCCAATTATTAGTTACAGTTGAATAATAGGCAATTAATTTCGGGTTTTCAGGACATGATTATCATAGTATTAATTCACACAAAATAACAAAACTCAACTCAGCCATATTGTCCAGTCCATTATAAATATAATAATGTATAATACCCATACAGATATTACTCTAAAATTATCCATAATTATCCCTAATTGTCTCAATAATAACCCCAATAGTATCTTCTTGAATAGAATTCTAGAAACAAATTGGACATGCAATAATAATATATATCCAACAATATGCATTAAAATATTAGAGTCCTGAAAAAAACTGTATCGCTTTCAACTTTTGACTTTAGACTATTAGGAAATATAATTAAATCAAGGTCTGACCCGGTCCGTCATCAGATTATCCAATCTGACTATACCACAATTTCACATGTTATACTAGTTATATCTTAATAATCATTTATGCTAATTTCTTATCTTTATACGAAATTATCAAGTAATGAGCAATGAAGAGAGAGAGAGAACGGTTGTATATGCATATCGTCTGTAGAGAGTATCAACACGAGAATACCTAAGATTTAAGAAAGAATAGTATTATTGGGAGTTACAAATATGTTCAATACGTAACCCTAAGCAAACCTTAGATGCATCAATATAAATATGGTGGCTAAAGCCAAGTGCGTAAATTAATTCAGTAAGTCATCTACACTCACGTTGTCTTGTGACATATGAAACCTACTGGTTGATCAATATCACCCATATAAGTAGAATAAATATTGTGGGTTCCTTCCATATTTTTAATGAGTGGATAAATGCTGGCACCGTACTCAGAACTTCACTAAACTATCTACACTACAGGCATATAAGAAAAAATGTTGTAAACATGAATTATTTGGACAATTATAGATGTATAAAATAATCTCATATGCTAGCAACTAATTATATTCTAGCTTCTAAATATATTAACCCTTTCTAAAACTTATATTTGGAACCATTATATGCAATATATTAAAGAGTATATTACATTGCATCAAATCTCATCTAATCATTTCTCTCAAAATGCATTAGTCAATCTTCTCTCATATTCTATTATTTTTATATTCATGTTTCTTTATTAATGTCGTTATATATACATTTATATAAATATTAGAGTACAGCTAAAACACATCATCTATCATGTCTTGGTATCACGAAAAAATATGCACTAATCTTTAATAAACTTTTACTTATTTCACTTTTATGGATACTGATTATACGAGAGAAAGTAGGGAAATATGCAAATGACATTCCTCAAAGAGGATCATCGACCAATCTATCAGTTGCCCACCACTGGCTATAGAGATATCTTGATTTATAGATTGTGCGCCTAGAATCATATCATATTCCGTAAATTAAATTTTTACCAAGACTCCCTCGACTTTCGACAAATGAATCCTACATAGATAGTCTAAACCAGCATAATCCATTACTAAAACCCTTATAAACTCACCATTTCTTATCGGTTTAGGTATGTAATCACTTCCAGCATATATCTTTACTCTATGATGTCACTGAGACCTAGTCATTAGAGTATTGATCTTATTATATGTTAATTTAGCCTGTGAATCACAAGATATATATTAAGAATCATCTCGATAATCAGTTTAAAAAATTATACCAAATGCGATAGCTAGAAACTAAATAGCGGTCTATCAACACACAGATTCACCCAATTACGAACGTAAAAGGAATATATGTATACGTGTATCACTCTCACTCAACCGAAAGAGCGAAAATCGCTCATCAATTCTCTTTCCTTTCAGAATGATGTGATTTTAGGCCGCACTTATACTAGGTATCTCTCTCTACTCGCTATCACTTTACGCATATATATAAATAACTATGATTTATGCTTTTGTATCTTGAAGATCCTTGTTTGCACCCTATGAATAACTCTTCACACCATCCTATGATGTCCACATCTGCTCACCTATAGTTGTAGTATGAATTTACACTATGTATCTTAATTACTGACATAAAGTTATTACATTGTATGCCTAAAAATTCTAGGTTGAAATATATTCTAATAAATATAAAACCATATATATAATCAAGAAATATAGATATATTCTTCTTATAACTATTTGAATAGAAACAATATAACAAGAATATAACAATTATCCATTTTTCCTCAGCATAAAATTATCTCCTGTCGCATTTAATTCATTCCTTCACTTCCTAATCAGTTCTATATTCTATATTACATAATGCATTGCAAGTCAGTTAGACATATAAGACAATATGATTCATTAATCATCTCCAATTGAATATATAAACTAACGGATAGACTATTTAAAATTTTGTATTATTACACTTCATATATATTCGTGCAATATTAATCCCACTGCAAAATAGGACAATTATATCCATTGAAATTTTCATCATCAATACTTTTCATTATTCTAGTATGTCCGCTTATATCAGATCGATGTTAATCTCTATAGTCCATTGACTATTACAATCTAGAAATAGATCATTTCATTATCAATCATCTATGTATATATGTTACAACTTTAACTATTGAAAACCAGTTCTTCTCATTGATCTCTCAATCTCGCATAAAATGAAGCGTAATACTCGACTGTTATAGTTTATAGATTATAATTCTACAATATGAGATGAGGTAGTCAATAAGTTATAGTTCATACTTTACAAATGGATAAATTTACAGAAACGTACTATATATTTTAGAGGTCGTTTTTCTATAAAATTGTACAAATGAAATCATAACAATCTCCTGTAATAATATTACTTATTGGATATTAATATACATTAACTAACAAATAACAAACAATTTACATAACTCTGAATTTTTATATTTATACTATGAGGATAACCAAACTATATCTTAATTATAATTTATTTAGTTTCAATTATTTCTGCTACCAGATTTTAACTATATTTTTACGCCACGATTAGTTCACCGAAATTGTTATCACACATTTAATACCCTATTAAAAATTGCCTCTACTTAACGTTGCAGAGCACCATTTCTCTTTTCTCTACACTAATACCTTGACACACTTTCTGTATTACTTACTTGATATAAATGTTCATATTCAACCCATTAGATTTTCCACCCCACCAATTAAAAACCAAAAATCAGAGTAATGTTGAAACAAAGGCTCATCATCTTATAGAATGAAAATCATGTAACCTCCATTCTCCTCTCTATCTTTAACGCTAAGTAACGTATAGCTTCATATACAAATAAAAAAAAAAAAAAAATCCCACTATCCCATG